TTTTGCTGCTGCACACACCCTGGGAGGACATGAGGGGCATATGCCCCCACATGTGCATGCGGGATGTGGTAGGCTGTGGGCCGCTGTGGGCTGGGGCCGGGGCAGAACCGGGCTGTTCTGGGAAGGGGCCTGGGTGGGCTATGGAAAATTTTGGGGTGGCATCAGCCCCTCCCATAACCCCTCCCAGTGCTGCTGCCACCCGCTCTGAGTGCAGCCCGGCCCCCCACCAGGAAGAGCCCAGTGCCCCACCCCACAGCATCCGCTTGCCCATCCCCACCACACAGATCTGGGGGCACACGCCCCCATGCCCTCCCAGGACACATGCAGCAGCAGGAGCCATCCCTCCCACCCTCCAGATGAGCCGCTTGTGGCTCTGTCCTGTACCCCACCACGGCTGAGCAGTGCCTGCCCCTGCCCCACTCCCTCCCCACTGCAGGGCCTCGATCTGTACCCCTCCCTCCACCCCTCCCTCCATCCCTTAAAAGCAAGAAAAAAATATAAAGATGTACAACAGGTGAAACTTTGAGACAGAGGTGGTACACTTGTTAAAAAAAGGTTAAAAACCCCTGGGTTAGATATTAGAAAGAATGTTCTTACTAGGAAGGTAGTAAAACACTGGAACAGGTTACCCAGAGAGGTGGTGGAATCTCCATCCTTGGAGGTTTTAAGACCCGGCTAGACAAGCTTTGGCATGGATGATCTAGTTGGGGATGGTCCTGTTTTGAGCAGGTTTTTGGACTAGATGACCTCCTGAGGTCCTTTCTAACTCTAATTTTCTATGATTCTATGATAAGGGATAAAGACAGGGGGTGCTGCCGAAGCAGCTTGAGCATTGGAAGGGCAGGCTCTGGTGCTAGTGCTGTGGGGTCTCTGCGGCTGGCTGGCATGGGTAGCATTTGGGTCCCACTGGTAGTGTGAGTTCCCCACAGTCTGCACAGCAGCCAGGCAGCTCAGCACAAGAGCAGGAACCAGTTGAGATGGGTGCTGAAATCAGGAACAGGTGTGCAGACATGTAGCCCCCTCCCCAAGCAGGGGTGGGGGGAACAGCAGCAGTAGTGGCAGTCCAGGGGCCAGCCCAGGTGGAGCAGGCAGGGGGCTGTCCCCATGGGCAGACAGTGCAGGAGCCCTCTCAGGGGGAGCAAGGCAGAGCAGCAGACTCCACAGGGGAGAGAGGATCAATGCAGCTCCTGCCCACCAGAAGTGTCCAAGGGAAGAGCTGGCACCCCCATGTGGCCATAGAAAACTGGGCAAAAGGGATCTATGGTTTGACCCAGTAAACGGCAGTTTTTAAGTACTGAAGCCATCTGTCCCTGATGGCTCTATCCTGTGTTCAACTTGTTCTTTGTAAGCCTTACTCCCAAGGAATAGGAGAAGGGAGGGGAAGGGAAAAGGCAAAAATGGAAGGGAAGGAGAGGGGAAGGGGAGGCACATGGGAGGGTGAAAGATTAAAGAAGAAAGAGAAATGGAAAAGGGAATCAGAAGCTACAGCTCTCTCCTTGAAACACTGTGTTTACCTAGGCATTTTCAATGACCCAATATTCTAAGAATTATGATACCCACAGAGTAAGAGTATTTTCCCTTTGGATACAAGTCATTCTACTAAATTTATTCTCCAGGGGGACCAATTAATTTTTTTTGTACCAGTGTAAATCTAAAATAACTCTGCCGAAGTTGCTATGAATTTATACCAGTGCTAAAGCTTTTGTTATGAAATATTTTTCAGTTCTCTGCATTTTTGGCTCTTATCCCGACAACACTGGAACCTTGGTGTACATAGGGAACTCAGAATTTTTCTGCTTTTCAGCCACATGCTACAAAGCACATAAGTATATGCTTAATGTAAAAGTACTGTGTAGAACTAGTAGGTTAGGTGCTTTGCTGGATTAGGATTTGCATGATAAATTATTCAAAACAAAGGTGTTGTCACAAGTGTTGCACACTTTTACAGTTTTACCATGAGTTTTGTGGGATTTGGCATTCAACCTAAAACACTAGCGCCTGCAGCTTTCCTTTTTAAAAAAACCCAGTATATTTCTAGCCTTCACAAAATATTGAATATGTAACCCAAGGGCATCCTAAAGGCTCAGAAACCAAAAGTTAAATGTAAAAACCCTCCAGCTGATTATTATATTTTAAATCTCATTATTTTTTAAGCCAGTATCAGGATATTTAGGTCCTAACTAATGATTTTTGAATGCCTGGGGTTGGCAATACTCGGTATGAACGTATTTCTATTCATGGGAGGGAAATGATATAGAAGGCTTGCAGCTGCCTGGGGACATAAATAGCTACAGTCACATTATATTTGTCCATTTATTCATAATACTCCCTGCATGTTCCAAGCCTGAATATTCCTAATGCAGACTTTGAAGTCAATGAAAAAACACTTACAAGTATGGACTACTAGAATTACCGTAATAAGGGTTTCTGTTGTGCCAATCTCACGCCTCTTTTCACATCTGGAATGCTCTACTGAAAGAAATTAAAATCACCCCTGGAATGCAACACTGGAGCAAAAAGGGCTAATCCAGAGATGTCTGACAAGGGGACTGTTAAGCAAAAGTAGGGAAATTTTCTTGTCTTTGTGCACAGCATTAGTAAAACAGATACTATAACACGATGCCCAGTTCTGGTGTCCACACTTCCAAGGATGTGGAAATACTAGAGAGAGTTCAAAGGAAGGCCAGAAAAGTGATCCAAGCACTGGAAAACAAGCTTTTTGATATGATGCTTAGGAAGCTTAACTTACCCAGTTTTTTGGAGAAAGGGTCTGAGAGGATACTTGATCACTTCCAGGTACTTTCACTTGGAAATCATACCTGGCAAGGGAGGGCATTTCATCATTGTTGACAAAAGCACAGCAAAGCAGTCTTTGCAATTTGATGTTAGACAAATTCAGCCTTGAAATCTGACACAATTGCCTTGCCCCACAATGTACAGGAAGACCAGACTAGAGGAACTTATGGTTCTTTGACTCTTAAACTCCTTGAAAATGAAACAGTGAAAGCTATGCAAATCATAGACCTGTCCTAAGGCCAAACCCCTTGCAGAAGGCCCTCCGTATTAACAGCACTGTGTTATGCAGCCCCCACGAGACAGCCAGAAAGATGGCAGTCCCTCGGGAAGAGCAGAAACAGGCTTCACTGTGACACTGATGAGATGGCAGGGCTCATGAGAAAGCCCCGGGTGCTACGCTGGACGCACAACCATGGCCAGGGCAGGGGAACTGTGGGATGGGGGAGGGGGACTGGATATACCCCCAGAACCAGGAAAGGTTACACAGACGAGCGGGAAAGATCATGGCTAGTCTTTTCTTTTTTTTTAAAGACATTTTTCCTGTTTCGAGCCAAATCAAGTCCAAATCTGTGAGTCAGCCCAGAACCATACATGGCCCTACAACCAGCAAACGTCTTCCAGCCCCACCAGGGGCTTCAGATATTTCCAAAGTCTTTTGGCGGGCATCCTATGTGCAGGCTTGGGGTTCGGATGCCCCCAAGTTTCGCCTGCCCTCAGCCATATATATGCTGCAGGAGCAAGCTACGGAGGAACCTCCCATTTCCATAAAATGGGCATTAAGCCCCAACCCCTCGGCGGGTACTGACCCACGCCAGGAGATCAGCTATCCCCGGAAACGCTTAAGGAGAACTGCCGTCGTGGACCCAGATACACGGTGTTTCCCCTGCCAGGCAAGATCCTGGCTAGTCTGTCAAGTCTAGCCCCCGGCCCCTTCCCGTGTGGGGCCGGTAAGAGCCGGGCAGGCACGGGGAAAGCAGCAGCTCCGGCCCCGTGGCGCGATGAAGCCCGTCGGCAGCCGCCCCTGGGGCCCCCGAGCGTCTTGCTCCCCTGCAGAGAGTTTTGGCCCGGGGGGAGCCTGCGGCAGCCCCGGGGCGTCGCCT